TTTTTGGTTTTTCTCCAGTACCAGGAACCGAACTCACGACCTTGCGCTTGCCAGGCAGGCGCTTTGCCGCTGAGCTAAATTCCCAGCCCCTTTGTTTTTCTTGAATTGTCTAATCTTATTTGTCTGTTCTGCCAAATACTTAAGTTTTAATTGGTTAAGTTCACTTTGAAAGATGGTGGGGTAAGTCTCTTTTTACCATTCTCTAAAATTGCCCTGATACGTGTATAAACCAAACAAACTTTACAGTGGCTTAACAAAATTCACTGAATTTGTATTAGTTCAGGGGAAGGAAACATGCTATCTTATTGGGTTGTTCCATTTTACTGTGTTGTTCTATACACAAACATGCTAGGACCAAAACTATTTCCAAACTATTTACAGTTGGTCCTCCAGATCCACAGGTTTGCCATTTGTGGACTCAGTTAACCAAGACTAGAAAACGTTTTTTAAAAACATTACCTTTTTGCTGATATATACTATGGAGTTAGGCCTAACATGGTTGTACGTGTATTAAATATGTTCACTTTTTTCTTATTATCTAACCAATACAATATACCAGTAATAACATTTGACATAACATTTACATTGAATTAGGTATTATTTTACATCATGCAAGTAATCTAGAGATAATTAAAAGTATGCATACGGAAAGACACTTACTACATTCAACTACTACCCCATTTTATCTAAGGCACTTGAGCAGCCAACAGCACAGACTACTACTTTTTCCAGAACCATCGGCAAAGATGTTTGAGCACTTACTACATTGAAGGCAGTGTGGATTGGAAAAGAATAGGAGGTTCAGAGTTAGCTCAATTTCTAAAATTCTAGTTCTAGCACTTAGAAGAACATATAATCTGGGATAAATTTAATGAACTATTCTGTATTCTCGTCTATTAAAACAGAAGTTAGTACCCACCTCTTTTGAGGATAGTCTCTGCACTTAACAGGCACCCAACAAATTGTAAGTATTATTGTCAAGACTGGTTCTCTGTTTACAGTCTAGATGACTAGATTTGAGGTGTACTCAATGAAATCACAATTTTTTAAAAAAATATTTTAGCACAGCATGAGATCATCTGTATGATTTAAGCTATATCCCAAGCACAGTTACTTATGTAAAGAAATCATTCCACACAGTCTTGCTAGCTAAGTACACAGCTAAGTGCTACTCTCTAAAGCAGGCTATAAAAGTTATTACAAGTGTTTCAACTATCTTTTATCTCTGATCAACTCCACACATTTTGCTAATAATGAAATTAAGGCTGGCTTTTGAAAATAAACTCTCATTGGTGTAATCAGAGTATAAGAACAGTGGACTAGCTAAAATATTTAAATCCCTTCCCCCATGATTTTCATGAACTGTGTAAGAATCTTTAGTCTATTTCCATGGGAAAAAAAGCCCACCGTTTGATTCCTCAATGGTTCTGTGTAGAACCATGGGACCAGAAGATTCTGCTTGTCTGACGCTAACTAAAATGGTAACAAAATTCTATCTCTAGGAAACTGTTTAATTCTGCCTGCAATCAATCTTTCATCAAAATGTCAGGTTGCCTTTAAGGACAAAACGCTGGCACTTAATCAACCATCACAAATATCTATGAACTGTTTTGCATTTAAAGCACTGTGCCATGTTCATATCTTTAGGTTAGGAATTGTTTTGCAAATTTATTTACTTGAGAGAAGATCTAAATCTGAACAAAATTTCTTCAGAAAAAAAGAAGTTAGAGAAAGATTTAATTAATAGTATACACATTTCAAGTCATTATAAGCTATGATCTTTGAATTTAAATTTTGGTCTTTCCACTTTTTATTCCTCCTTAGGATTTTATAAAGAAGATAAAATTTCAACTCTTTAGAAAGAGTAAGGGTGTTTCACAAACATGAACAGTCTTCTGAAATTAATATATGAACAGAAAATATATACTGAAAATAAATACTGAAATTTGGAAACTAGGTCAAGGGGTCTGATAGGACCATTTGACTAGAAGTGCGCATACAAAAAATATAGAAAAGTGTTGGGTTTAAGACAATATATTAGAGTATGTTGAAACTGCAAGTGGATAAAGTAGTAGTAATTCAACAGAATTTCAAGATTTAATTGTAGTGGGATGGTGCATGCCTGTAATCCCTACACTCAGGAGGCTGAGGCAAGAGGACTGCTGCAAGTTTGAGGCCAGCCTGGGCTACAAAATGAGTTCGAGGCCAGCCTGAACTGCATAGCAAAACCCCCTCAAAAAAAAAAAAAATTAATTGTAGTGGGGGGATAAGGGTGATTATAGTAATACATGTATTTATTTGAGGACTTGGTATATAATTTAAGAATGGAAATTTATTTTCAACTATTTCCATTTGTTTTGTGAGTCACAATTTAGAGTACCTTAATATATAAAAATATTGTGATAAGGGTTGTATTTTCATTTTATAGAGGCTAGAGATAAAGCTCAGTGGCACAAGCACCTGCTTGGCAAGTGCAAAGTGCTGAGTTCGATTCCCTGGTAACCCCACCCAAAAAAAAACCATTTCATTTCATAGAATTAGTAGTGTCTTACTTTTCTGTCATTGCTGAGACAAAATGCCCGATGTCCAAAATTAAGGAAGGAAAGGTTTATTTAGTTCACAGTTTGTGGAGGTTTCAGTCCATAATTAGATGGCTGCAAGGCAGGATAATGTGGCAGAGCAAAATGGGGAAGAGAAGGCTCTTTTCCTCCCTTATGTTGTAAGCAGGCCACCCTCCCTCCAAAGAAGGCTACTCACACCATCTCCATGCCCTCCTCCTGCACATGAGGCTCTTTACAAAGTGAACATCCTGGCCCCCTTCTGAGTTCCTTAAACTTCTACACAGCTGAAGTTGACACAATGTACCAACCATTACAACAGCTACAAGAAGCTGTTCAGGTTAACTTAGAAATTAAAAAAAAACAGAGACCCAGCTAGTAAAAATGATGTGTGTTTTTTTCATATGCTTTCATTCAATGACGTGAACGTGATACAGTGCTTATTAACATTTTCAAAATTCCTTTCCTTGAGTTGTTAGGATAACTCCAGAAAAATTACTATCATTCATTCAACTAGCAGGCAGCAAAACATGCTCAAGTTCACAAAGTGAAATAAGTCACAGCCCAATCTTCTGAGGCTAAATCCAGCTTTTCTTAAACAGCTGAGGCTAGCAAAGTGGTCAAGCTGCATTTGCTTTCACCACTGTCATAATTACACATGGTGCATCTATTTTTAAAGCCCTTAACAGAATCTAAATAGAAACACATACATGACAATTCTCCCTTCCCCATCAGAAAAATCTTTTCCAAATAGCTGAGCATGGTAGCCCGCGCCTGTAATGCCAGCACTGGGGAGGCTGAGGCAGGAGGATCCTTGCAAGTTTGAGGCCAGCATGGGCTGCAAAGTGAACTCAAGGCCAGCCTGAACTGCACAGTGAAACCCTGTCTCCAGACCAAAAAACCCAAGAATATTTACATTGTCAGGTGCCATTCTCAAATACTGTACAATGTAATATTTTCTTGTACTGGAAACTTGAAAGCATTTGTCACTGATTATAAATAGTTTATGATTTTTAAATAAAAATTACCAAGCATTGAGCTGGTATTTTTTACTTACCTAGACAATGTTGTTTTCCCAGAACCAGGCAGACCTCTTAAAAGAATAAGTAATTTCTGTAACTTATTTAACTTTTCTTCTTGAAACTGCTGGTTCATAAACCTGTCCATTCCATCATGCTTGTCCACAGGAGGCTCTTTCCAGCTTCCTTCCCTGATGTCTCGTAAACCATTACTCACATATCCATCTTGCACGCTACAGCCATTTCTAGGGGGATAAACACTACTGCTATTCTCCCAATAGTCAGTATATTCACTCCTCTGATCAAAAGTCAAACAATTCCAGTTAACTCGACAACCACCTACATCATACCCATTTTGCATCTGACAGTCCCCTTCAGCATGGAAAATATTTGGTGATGGGTTTGGTGGAGCACTGAATCTTTGAATATTTAAATGATAGTTAAAATTGGGAAGAGGGGGACCATAGGGTACTATGAAGGGATGCACTGATTCCCATTCAGGCCTGAAAGGAGTAAACGAAGCATCACAAAATGTAGGCATTGCTTGTCCATCATAGGTGTATTTGTCTGGCTCACTGCCCAAGTACTGCTGATAACCACAGTGTGACTGAGGAGCACTATTCAGATCTTCACTTGCTTCATCAGATTTTAAGACATCATTATTATGGCCCTCATAATATGGAATAAGTTGTTTCTGAGAAGGTTCAGATTCCTGACAACTGACCTCTAAATTGTCCTTTTCATTTTCAAGTTCTTCAATTTCTTTGTAAAACTGCGATAATTCCGTGTCAATCTCTAATTTTTTGGTGTTAAATTTCCGCTTCTTTTCTTGTCTTCCTTTGCCATTTATACCATTGTGAGTATCTGTTTCATTCTGCCTTTCATTACATTTTTTTTTCTCAGGGGGTTTGTAAATAGGTCCTATAAATGCTTTACTTGTACTATATATTCCATCATCTGTTGATACCAATGCAGGTTTTCCATCTCGTAAAATTTGTGAACCAACGGATTCAATAACATCTCTGTTCTCATTATGCAAAGGTTTCCGCAAATTTGTAGTTTGGGTTTTGTCCTCCTGAAGAAAATCAGCACTGCCACGACGTGGGAAAGCATAAGCTTCTGCAGTTGACTTCAATTTTTTATAGCACGGTTCATTTGTTAGTTCTTTTCCAGGTCCCAAGAACTTAGCTTCAGTTTTACCATAAGGCATCTGAGGAGTAAATAAATCACACAATAATTAACTAATACTTTTAAAAATATAAGTATTTCCTCATAAATAGGGAAGCAGAAAAGACAATTCAATTTGTCAAGTAATTAATAGTAACATCTCCCAAAATACTAGAGTCAAACTGTAATTTTAGGCCAAGTATGGTACACTCCTGTAATCCCAGCACTCTGAAGGCTGAGGCAGGAGGATCTCCGTGAGTTTGAGTCCAGCCTGGGCCACACAATGAGTGAGACCCTGTCTCAAAAAAAAAAAAAAAAAGTAATTTTATAACTATTTACTTAGGTATTGTAATAACATAACGATATGACAATTATGACAAGTACTGTCATAATATTTATGAGATGGGTCTCACGTTAATACCTTTTTTAAAAAAAATCTTTAAACCATCTATTGCTGAATTTAGAAATTAAGAACTTGCAAATTGGCAGTTATAGCTAGTTATCATAAACATTTTCCTATTTAAAACTATGTCTTGGGGCTGGGGATTTAGCTCAGCGGCAAAGCGCCTGCCTGGCAAGCGCAAGGTCGTGAGTTCGGTTCCCGGCACCGGAGAAAAACCAAAAAAAAAAAACAAAACTATGTCTTGGCCAGACGTGGTAGTACAAGCCTGTAATCCCAGCATTTGGGAGGCTGAGGCAGGAGAATCCTTGAGAGTTCCAGAACCAGCCTGGGCTACAAAGTGAGCTCCCGACCAGCCTGAACTGCATAGCGAGACCCAGTCTCAAAAAGACCAGAACAAACAAACAAAACAACAAAAAAACTCACTATGTCTTTTACAGTATATAGTTCAAACTTCCAACTTCGAAGAACGATATGTTAGATTTCCTGAAATGCATGCAGTGTTTGTGAGCCCTTTTCCTTGCGAGAAGGGCAAAAGCAGTTCCCACACGGATACAATGCGGCAATTCGAAAGAAACAGAAATAACTCGAGTTGCACTGACGACACAGATGCATTATGCTTAGCGAAGAGATCTGGCGGTTACCCAACATCAAAGCACCCGGCTTTTCCAGCTGACTGGTCTACCTCCTAAAATAAACTTCTGCTTCTCTTGAAATGTGTCAAGACTATTCAAGAGTACCATCCAAAAGCCTGTTGTGCTCAATACTATTTTATTCCGTCTGCCCTCCCGGCGTTCCGCTCCAACACGAAGAAAAAGGAAAGGCAGGACGAGGGATGAACTAGGAATGGACGCGGGAAGGCGAAAGGAAGCTACAACGGTGGGAAACAGCCCCCTACCGCGGCCACCTCTCAGCTTTCCCTTCCCCACGCAAAATGTCAGAAAAGTCCCGAGGAAGCGCGAGGGAGCTGCGCCAACACACAGCCTAGACCCCGGGCATGGCCTCCTGACCTCCACCAAAGGCCAAAGGCGGAAACCGAAAACGTCACCAACCCACCCTCACTAAAACGGGCCGTCTACTCACCTTCTACAACCTCTGCATGGACCTTTACCTCGCCAAAAAAATGTTTCCTCCCACGAGACAAGAACCTCCGTCAAAGTGAAAGACACACTCAAACACCACTACAAAGCAGAGTCGGAAGGACCAAAAGCCCAACCATCCGACTCCGAGGCAATAAGCCGCACCTCCGTACGCAAGATGGCGACCACCTCATGGTTACCCCGGAAGAAATTATGGCTTCGCGCCAGGCGTTATGGGAATTGAAGTTCTGCGTTCACGGTGGTCTTGTGAATCTCGCCGCACGGAGACTCGGTCTCCCAGAATCCATCGCGTGACATACCACCGATTCGGCAACAAACGTAGGCGGGAAGGCGTTCCTAGAGCTGTAGCTGGGAAGTTATTTAGGAACCCTAACTTTGCCTTTAAAAGAAAAATGCAGCCACCCGGTCAGGCGTTGCCCTGGAGGAAAAGACAAAAAGAGTTCTTAGCATTCCTAAATAGGTACGGAAACTCCCGACAGGGTATGAATTTCCGGCTTTCCAGGAGACAATCGGCTATCTTTTCCAAGAGGACTCGACATTTCCTATTGCAGAGTTGGGTAGCCACAGTTTCTCAAAAAAACTACCAGGCATAATTTTAGGCTTATGCCTTTCTGCTGAAGGAGAGAAGCCTTGCGTCGGAGAGACCCCCATAACAAATAAAAATACTTATGGGAAAAATCATTTAGTGTCTTTTTTTTGTTTGGGTGAATAAAGACCAGTTACTGAGCTTGACCAAGAGTCCTGTGAAAAGTACTTAAAACGGAGCTCATGATAGGAATACGTGTTCGTTAAATTAATAAATACGAACAAAGTACTGGCAATCCTAAATTGAGGATGCCTTTTCTCTTCCATCTCCCACTCCAACACACTGGCTCCCCCTCCATTCCCAATTCTTTTGAGTTCCTACAAGGGAAACTGAGTCTATGTAAATAATTCTCTTGGGGCACTAACATGATAATCTTCTAATTTATAAATTTAATCGTTTAAAATCGCAGTCTAATATTTATACTCATTTAAGTAACACCGTTGTGACCAAGAGTGCTCATTTGAGCAATTTATCATCATACAAAGTTCCTCAAATATAAATTCCCACTGCGACTTTGAAACAACTATGGAAGTGAGATTGTCCCCTTTTCAGGATTACATCCGGAGTCACGGGATGGCTATTTGTTTTAAAATGGTACTAATCTGGGTTTTTTTGCTTTTTTTTTTTTGTTTTGTTTTCTTGAACGGCAGATAGAACCCAGGGCTTTTGCGCTGAGCTATATTCCCAGCTGTCTTTTTAAATTTTATTTTAAGACAAAATCTCCCTAAATCACTAAATCACTCAAACTGAGTTTGAACTTGCAATCCTCTTAGCTCAGCCTCCCAGACTTCTAAGATTACAGGCCTGTACCACCATGCCCAGGAGATATAAATCTTTATCGTTCCACCAATGCGTTGTTTAATTTTTTCTCTGAATACTTTCTAATAAGCAATTTGTAGCTTGATACTTTGAAACCAACCAACTCCTAATCAAACTTTAACTTGTGGTTCGTGCCAGTGATGATTCTGTCCAATGATATTCATCATGATGATTACAAAATGTTGACTTTTTTTGCAACTCCTTCAAACCCTCACATTTATTAATTCAGAAACTGCTATAAAGATGAGCCTCACTTATTATCAGTATGAATTCCTTTTTGTTTATTTCTTTTTCTATTTGTTTAAGTACACTGTTGTACCTGTGTATTTATTATTAACAAACTATATTTAGAACAATTTTAGTTGTACAGAAAACTTGAGCAGAGTGCCCACATACCTCACACATGGGCATGTTTCCCCTGTTATTAACCTCTTACATTGCCATGGTACATTGTTACACCTAATGAACTAACACTGATATGTAATATTAATATTAATTGAAGTCTGTAATTTTTCACGTTGTTGGTTTTTATCTTATGTCCTTTTATAACTGCCACTGCAAAATGGAAATTTAGAAGATTGGGTCTATATTTATTTATTTATTTATATTTTTCCCCCTTTAAAGACAAGCAGTTTCTTGAGGCCTAAGGCATAAACAGCTTCCCTCGCCTCTCCTCAGCTCAGAGAAAGGAACAGAATATGCAGATGCTGACACCTGGAAGCCTGGAGCCTAGTTGCATTTCCACAAGAAAGAGGACAATAAACTAAAGATGACTAAAAGTGATAAATCAAGTGTGGATGTTACGGCTTGTGCCTAGATGTCCCCCCAACCCCTCATAGGTGAGGCTTTTCAGAGCGGGCTGGATCTAGGGTGTGTGATGCCGTGATTAAGGGTGTGTGATCATTAAATTTTGGGTGTGGATAACAGGAAGGCCCATGCCAGGTATGAGTGCGGGCAACCTGGATGGAGCGTAAGGGACAGAAAGAAAGCTGCCGCCCTCGCTTACTCCTGCTGCTTCACTACTTCTCAGCTTTGCTGTCTTCTGCCTGCTGTGAACTGTTTGTCCTCTGTGATGCCTCTCTGGCATGTCACCCACCTTTAGAGCCAGCCAACTCTGAGCTGACAAACTGTGAGCGACAATAAACCCCTCCTCCTTTAATTTTGTGTCACGTAGTTTGTCTCTGCAACAAGAAAAGTAACTAACACAGTGAAGATCTACATAATCTCAGTGCTCTCCCTGCTTCCCTTCTGTTCCTTACTGCAAAATACCCTTGCCCACCGTAAATGGTGAGGGGGTGGTTTGAGCCAAATACGCCCTCCAGCTCCTTAGAGCTAGCTTTGAATAAATCCTTTTTCCTTTTACCCAAGTGTGTGGCCCCCTTTGATTTGGTCAGGGGCGAGTGGACAAACCTAAGTGGCTGGGAACAGTTTCTGTTTCAGGATCTTATTGTGGTTTTGATCCAAAAGGTCCTTCAGAAGTCTCACGTGTTCAGAGGTAGGGGTTTTGGAAGGTGATTGGATCACGGGGACGCTGTACTCATCAGTGAATTAATCCACTGAGGAGTTTATACCTGAATGTGCTACTAAGAGGTGAGTCCTGGTTGAAGGAAATTGGTCTCTGGGGTGTGACCTGGAAGAGTATATTCCTGTCCGCAGCTCCTCCCTTTTTTCTGTTTACTGGCTTCCATGGATTAAGGAACTTTTCTCCCCTGTCCCTTCCACCATGCTCTTTCTTCCTTGGAGCAGGCCAACCATGGACAGGACCTCCTGAAATTATGATCTAAATAAACCTCTGTTCCTCTAAATTGTGAGTGTCAGGTATTTTGTCCCAGTGATGGTAAGGTGACTAATACAGAGCCAATTCAGAATAGTCCCTTACATTTAGTTATCATGTTTCCTTAGGCTGATTTTGGCTTCCGTAGCTTCTTGGACTTAACTTTCTTTTTTTAAAGAGAAGAAAAAAATAGTGTAAAATTTCAAAACAAGGTTGTAGGAGAGTAACAATGTTTAGTACATTGCATATTATCTCAAAGTAATTGCTCATATTACAAGATATAGACATGAAAAATTAGTCAAACATTATAGGCATAAACGTTTCTTTTCAATGAACTCATAGCAATGCGTATAACTGCATATATATATATTTATTTTTGGGGGCTGGGGATTTAGCTCAGCGGCAAAGCGCCTGCCTGGCAAGCGCAAGGTCGTGAGTTCGGTTCCCAGTACCGGAGAAAAACTATATATTTATTTTTCCTTTTCTCCTTTCCCCCTTTCTAATTTCTCTTTCTTTTTGAGCAGAATCTTCCCATTTCACAATATCTATTGTAAATTTTAGGTCTTATTTGCTCTTTAAATTTCTTACACTAGGAAGACAGTTCAATATTTATACATGTGGAATTGATTTATTTCACTTACGACTATGGACTCAAGTTTCATCCATTTCCCTAAAAATGTCTCAAGTTTATCCTTCTTTATAGCTAAGTAGTACTCCATTATATAAAAAGACCACATCCTTTT